TTAACAATACAGTATTGATTCTTCGGATGAGTGCTGCTAAAACAGTCGTGTTTGCCTCCGGTGTCTTTGATGTCTGATATTGCTTACTTAGTATTTACTCTTAAGAGAGTTCCGTTCGAAATGAAAAAAGAGTAGAGTGTTCTCTGTTCATGTGATGTTTCTGTTATTTAATCAATTCTAGGGCGAACGCCTAGCATTCAACCGTAAATCGGTCCACGAAAACCACTCACACTACGGATGAAACAAAGAAGGTCTTCTCTGCGTAGGTATTTATTAGAAAATGCCAACTAACCATTTACAGACTATTAGATAGGGAAGCAAAACCCTCATATGCATCTTATTTACAAAAACTGAACATCCATCTTCTCTTGAACGCGTCTTCCTGAACTTTCCTAGATACTCCTTGACTGTTGCTCAAGTCCAAGTTATGCTACAAAGCGACTCCACAAATTCCGCAACAGATCTCCCTTTTCAGCGAATTTACAAGAAGAAAACATGCTACGCGTATGCCTCCCCCATCGTTAGTATCACCGTTACACGGATTGTGTTCACCAACCTGACCAGCAAAATAATTTTTATTTTTCAAATGTTTAGCGAATGCAAAGCAAACAACAAAAATTATGATCCTCTTCACTTGAAACTACTAGAAAACGTTGATAAAACCATCCTACGGCCGAGTTTTAATCAAGTACCACAAGATATTCCCAATAGATTATGGATTACCCTACGGACCCCCTTGTTATATCGCAGTTGATACCGTTTTTGAGTAGAATAAACTAGAACGTATATCTGGGTTGATTTAGTGAGCTCTATTCACCCTCGATAGACATTGCGAATTTGAGTGACAACCTGGCAATACAGTAACTGCCACTGAGAATTGATCATTTGATTGAGACGAGGAAATGATAATTAGCCGTTCATGTGTGACTAATTGCGTTAGTAATTTGTGTGTAGACTGAAATAAAGCCATCTTTATTGTTGTGCGAGAACGTGAAAGAAGTCAACAAATACACTTATTTGAAAATCAATTAGGTTTTCACGCTCAAATCAAATGAATCTTTCATTTATGATGTCCTCCAGCTGAATGTGCTGCACACAGGCCACCTCATGGTTCAGTTGGCACGACATTCGAGAAATCGCAGTATGTTTTCATGAAGGAAACTACTCACAAGTTTGCTGAAGGCTCTTCGCGAGCCCACAAAAAGTTCCGCCTTTCTTGGGGCTCATCAGTCTATTGTGAGTTCAAGTAGAACATAAGGTTGACGAAAACTCGGGGAATGCGCCTACCTGATGAGTCCCAAGAAGGGCTAAACCTATAATAGGTTGTCAAAAATCTTTCAGCAGTCTTGTGAGCAGTTTCTTTCGTAAAGGAATTTAGTGCAAGAATTGAATATCATCACAAAAGGCGCAGAGGAATTTAGAATGGTTTCAATATCAGGAAAATTCAGATGAACAGTATCTTGAAAAGCAAAGATAATTTGAAGTAAAGATGGGGACAGAAAGATCCCATTACATTTGGCTAGGGGAACATCGTTGACGTTGATTTATTGACAGTAGCCGAGATGTTAAAAACTGGATCGTAAACGCCTGTCAGTAGAAGCGGTCTATTGTGTACTGTTGCGAAAAAACGAAGGAGGACGCATTAACAGATGAGTGGACAGGTTTCACACGAGAGATCCCAAAGTTTAAGCCGTGAATTTAATGCAGCTCTTCGCAAAAAATGCCAAAACGGTTATTTACAGTCAGTGCTCGTTTCCGTAACTATAAAGAAAGAGGTGTGTGGCCCATGGTGAGACTAAAATATCCCCTCAATACCCCTTGTGCTTATCCTTCTTGGTAGGACTTAAAAACCTATACAGTAATTCCAGGCTTTTTAACATAGACTGAATCCACTTACATGTGGAGACTTCGGTATAAACCTCCAAATCATTGTAGACTGTCAACAAGCAGGCAATAAGGAAGATGAAAACATGTGACACGCGAAACTTCCATCTGAGAATTTGCCACCGCAGGAAGCAGTCATTAAGTGATCATTTGATGTGAACTATGTGACTGAAGCATGAGCAACGCTATGTATAGTTTGAGTGATAATCACACTGTTAGTCAGCGCCAGTGTTCGATGGTTTTAGGCTTCCACTAATAGCCGTGAGATCTATCTAGTTGCATTAATCCGCAGTGTGAGTAAGGATACATAGTTTGGTAGTGTTCAAAACGCCTATCTGCTTGGCAGCTTCAAGATTTCACCCAAACACTTTTGGCACGGATTGCTTGCACGAGTTGCAATTCTGTTATTCGGTCAGGAGTGCCTATTTGCAGGGCTATGTAAAAGCTGCACTTCAGCGGTGGAAAACCTAGCCGAACAAACACTAGTTGGTTGTAATGTATTCACTGAATCTAGTAAGAGAAACAAGAGTTCGAGCTACCTATCAGAATAAGCACCAGTTGACTTGCAAGGATATAAGACTGTCTGTAAAACGTCCAGTGCATAGTGGAATCACACAGAATTTAAGCATATGAGATGCTGAGCAGCCTCAAGGAAAATACTCTCGGATAACTTGTAGATTACGCCAGGTGTACCGGGATATAAATTCATGTCAAAGAAATAATTGTGAGCGTCAACGGTTGCACCAGTGTCTTACTGCTGCCCATTCATCAAAATAAACTCCTAAACTGAAAAGAAGGAGAAGTCGAATAGGAAAGCGACCTGATGTTAGCGACCTGGGTTACTTGGTGTCTGTTTGAACGAAGGCACTTATGGCGAAAGAGGTCACTGTGACCCAAGATTGGCTTTGTTCAATGGATAACCCAGCATTTGAAACTGGCCCACCTCAACTGAATCTGATGGAAACGATCTTCCTAAAATGGAAGTGACGGCAACTCCACGCTTGTTACTGGCATTTACTGAACCAAGTGATCGAGTAGAATCTTGGACTGGATTACATTAGATAGAAACTTTCGGTAACGAGTGTGTACTCTGTCAATGATGACGATGGTCTGCAAAAGAAATATATTGACATCGTGGAATGAGCAACAGAACATAAAGTTTTGGGTCAGCCCTTCACTCGTACACTGTTACTAGCTGAGCGGTACCGTTTGAGTATTATGAGAAATGTTTGTTCCTATGCAGTTATGGCGAATTCTGAATGGAACGAAACACATCGGTTTTGTCTACGACTAACTTATCTGGTGGACAGTAGAGTAGGTTTCCTTGACGAACAGGATTAAAGACCGCCTAGATTCCAGTGCTTGGTTGCTATGGTAGTGGATGCTATGGTAATGAAGAGCTTAGTTATAGAAAAGCGCACATGTTGCCTCATTGCATGAATGCTACTAAAATTTGTTGCGAGTTCTCGTATTGACAGTTAACAGGTAGTGGTGAGCACTCAACACAGCAGACAAGATAACGGATCCGTCTGGGTCTCAACTTCATTGTATGTGTACATGTGAAAACTCCGGACACTATTAGATTGGACTTCGGTCTAATAGACAATCTATTGATCTCGATAAATACACTCATCTGCGAATCAGTTTGGTTTTCACAAGAGACTCAACTGAATCTCTCGCCCCAAGAAGGGCAAAACCGGTCGTGGGCTGACGAAGAGTTTTCAGCAACCTTGTGAGTAGTTTCCTTTATGAAAATCTATTGATCTGTTTATCTCACGGATTACGTCAGATCCAGCGTGAAGATCACCAATGGAAAAGACTACATGCACACATGTATTCCCCCAAAAAATAGCCATCCGGAAAAGAACCCTTACCCAGCCACTGCAGATTGGCAGTGAAGTGGCTTCGTACTTGTCACCCTTCAGAGCTGCACCTATTTCACAGGTTTGTTGAACACGCATAGGGCTCCAAAAAGAAGAAATCTAGTGTCAGTCGAAAATCCTGCCATCATAAATCAAGCACTCTTTAAGTTTTGGGTTACAATCGGGAGCGTTCACTTTATCATACCAAAAGTGGTGAAGAGGTTCCAATCCTAGCAGTTAACCTTTGGCGTATCTCAGACCTCATCAATATACTAAATACACAAACTTCTGTCTGCTAAGTCGTTTTCCCAATTAAGCCATTAAGCTGGCCATGTTAAAAGTTAGGACAAAGCTTATGAAGGTAACTTTTAGTAATATTTTGCAAAACGATGCGTTGCCTACGAAGCGAATTCTCAATACGCGTAGTTTTTTGTCTGATGGTTTGGCAATTATGCGGTTGAATTCCAACAAGTTCGGACTTACGTTGTATTCTTTTTTTACTGGGACGGGTCAGGTAGAGTGCACTAATTCAGGTTAGTACCCACAGACCTAGGTGACCCCCAGACGGTTTGTCTGTTTGTTTATGGCAGTTCGGTTTCCAGCCAGTTGTGTACCTATTCAGATGATCTTACAGTTGTGAATAGTCAACGATTCTGGTGAAAAACCTGGCATATATCGGTCAGTCATAACCTGGGAATCGACCTGATCCAACCAGCTCGGTCACACAAAGCTTTTGTTGAAGAGATTTTCGAAGCCTAGAAATGTTTTGTCTGGATGTGGGCTTCAAATACCTTGGGGGACTATCCAACATTTTCTCGGCTACATACGTATGTAAAATTATTTCTTGTTGCTTTCTATTTTGACTATCTGCCACAAGCTTAGCTTACATAGCCATCCAATAAATGATTTATAATCGGCTAATCATTCTACTGAATTACCATTCCGCCCTGTCAAGATTAACTCTTCTCTCCCATTGAACGTGATCGTAGCTGATGGAAGTCAAACTCCCCAGAATAAATAGGAGAAAATACAGGAGTGCTTTGGGTATTTTGTTGCAATTATTTCGAACACTGTTAGGAAAAAGACTGAAAAGCAAGAAAGGCGAAATTTGGAATGAAGGTGAGAGATGACACAAGGTATATTACAATTCATTTTTTTAATGAAACATCTAGCGAAATTTTGTACGAATCACTAAATTTACACATACTTGGAATGCGTCCTTAGACTGAGACTGACTCTGGTCCCACCTATTCTTTATGCTGTGTATCCCAAGGAGTGACCGTTGTACTTGCAAAATTTCAAGTCATCCTGCAACTCCTCCAGAAGTTCGTAAGCTTTTTCGTTCGATGCAAAGCTGCTAATTGTGACGATATACGTTACAAGGGTTGTGCCATCCACTTTTTGTTCGTGTACCTTCTCCTCCTTGCAGCCTCTCACAGAGAAATTTTTCAACTCTTTGTCCATCACCTGTATCAACAGGAGTAGAACAACGTTGGAAACAAACGTTACATTTTGTACTCTATACTTTAGGTGAAATAAAATCGCCTATCTGCGGCAGTGATTGCCCAACGGCACGCTTCCTTGCCGTACTAAAGACTTACATTGTCGCAGAAATCGGTCTCATAAACGCCGGTTAGCTGCAGTTCTGTGGATCAAAGAATGGCACAACCGTTGATTTGGTCAGAGAACAGCATGCATTGTAGAAGTTCACATGTAGCGTTAGAAACATACCATGTGTGTCCGATGTGAAATCCCGATAAGTGAATTCTGGTGAAAATAAATAAATTGGCATCAGTATTTCAAAAGACTCAGGAGTAAAATTCGTAGGCACAATGATACTGCCATTTTAGCCATAGTGTATCATACCTGCTGTTGTTTCGCAACCGTTCTCTGAGCCGCTTAGGAGTTTGGAGACGTACCAAGTGAGTAATTCCACATCCAAATCTTGGTACTCGGGTTTTAACTTCTCGTCTTCCAAGGTCACGGTGTACCGTATGATCTCCCCGGTAACTGCACCAACAGAACAATCGGTGAAAGTGCCATCACTCCAAACATCAGGATTCAAGCTTTTCAACTGAAAAAAATAAAGTCGTAAAGATTGAAAATCGAGGCAAAACGACGCGAACTGCTCACAACAATCTCAAAATAGCGTCTCATGACGTCGCTTTAGACAATTGTCTTTGTGCAATATAGTCCCATCTTTTCCTAAGCATCAGAAAACTCACATGTGAGCAGTAGTGGTTATTGTCTTCCGACGGTTGTGGGCTCACCAATCGTTGATATACAAAGAATCCTGTTTGAATAATACACAAAGAGCTAAGGAGTAGTTAAGCGTAAAGTTTTCAAGACCGGATAGAAACAGCTTTTCTACGGTAAGCTGACAAATATCATTAGTTGCGTGACAAAAAGATATGTGTGAGAACACGTCATTATTGGTGAAAAATGCAACTGGTTGGTTGCAGGCAACCGATTACCTGACATGGTAGCACTTACCCAGTTTTTCGCCTTCTATGCTTCTGGAAAAAAGTAAAGACAAACATGGCATCAACAGTACAGACCGCATTGTTATTTGAACCACCTGTGAAAACCGTCAGAGTAGCTTGCAACTTGTTTATATACCTTCCTAGTAGACGTGCCTAGAGGTTAGTGTGTTGAAAGCGTTACGTTAAATTTCCGTCCTCTGATAGGAGGAGAGGTTGTTGGTCGAGCATCTACCCAATACGATTTATCCAGGCGTCCGTGTTACTCTGTGCTGCGCGATTTTTTAACCTCAATCATTCAAACAATTCCGTTTCCAACGTTTAAGGAAACCAAACTATTATTACCGGTCAAGTATCATCGACCAAACTAAATTAATTCCTACCTCAATAAACAACAAACAGAATTTAATTTTCCCCAAATAGATGAACCCATTCCATTGCCTCATGTATTTTGTAACAAGCAGTGCCAGCCCAAAGTTTTGTGCTTCTGGGGAGAAAAGTCGGACACTGCCTGAGCCGAAAACCACAAGCGTGTTCTCAGCTTCATTTGTCATTTAAGAGAGTGAAAACGGTCGAATATGGGTACGAAATTATGAAGGTAGCGGTTGACCAAATGGTTTGGGTTCAGTGCGGCATAATCCTTACCACATACTCGTGATTCTGTCGCGCAGTTACTCTAAAGCTCGCATCCAGAGATGTTTGCATTAGTTCTGACACCGTCTGGCTAAGAGTGTGATGGTAATTGCAGCCCTTACTTGCTGCTTGCAATACATGTATTGAAGCAGGCACAGACCCAAAGAATGCCACGCAGCTGCATCCATGAGCTGGATCATAATGTTTCCAAAAACGGATGTCTACAGTACATTCGTTTGTGAGGAGATGTAGCCATCATATCAACGGTTAAGATGATGTATCAACTATGTACTGCTTTGACACACTGCTTCACTACCCAGCTGGTTTAACCCGATTCAGGGGATGACAAAAGTAACAAACTGATGCGAGTGTCGTATTCAGTCGAAATTCAGATGGATCAGTCATTCGTTATTTTACTCAGGTAAACATGCAGCACAAGGGTCACTTCGAACTTCTGTTGGGTCAATATTTGAGCTTCGAAACTGATTAGAGTTCACACTGTTTAGTTAGAATAAAACTCAGTCAAGGGATTTAAACGAATGTAGTATCCTGTACACTCATTGTGAAGGTTCTGCTCGTAGGACCCATTTATGTCAATGTGATAACACAAAACCAGTATATAGTTGAATAACTCTAGGAATTACTACTGCGATACACAGTTGATGTGCAATTTTATTTGAAAAAGGCTGCACCAGCAAGCTGATAACTTCATTATGGATATTTTAATGAACCCACTCCTCGCTGATATTTCACCGGCGGTTTGAGAGCCGTCAACTTCGCTTAGGTATGGCAAAGATGCACTCTTGGAGACGATATATACACAATGTGTTTACTATCATAGACGGTTTTTCAGAGCTACTGGAGATTCTAGGGAATTCTCATTAGGCACACCTGGCGATGTTTAACATTCCTCCATTACGTACATGTGCGGAGGATAAATGATTGCCCTAATCAGCCTTCGGCAATCGTTTCCACTAGTAATTCACGTTCAAACCATACTTGATGCCCTTTTTGGACACGCTTCCAAACTTCGCTTACTCAGCTAAATGAGCTGGCTTACCCCGTTTAGTTACAAACTATCCGCCCCTCATCTCACAAAATTGTCTACCGTAGAAATTTTACTGTCAGCTTTCGATCCACGCCCTCGAGGAGTACAGAACTTTGAACCAAAGAATTTAGTTATAAAAACAGCAAAATGCAATGGGTTATTTGGCTTGGAAAATAATGAGCCTGAGACCCAGCAAAGCCGTTCAGCCCAGGTGGCTTTCCTTATTAAAGAAGTTTGGTCCCCTCGGTTTCGAAAGGATCTGAAAACCTTTCACAATCGCTACACACTTTCCACTTATAAAATAACCTATGTGGTTTGTTTGTGTCTTTACGAAAGTCTTCTAAAGTCAACAACCTCTGTGATTGCTCCGGAACCATGCTGTAACTTCTCAGCTCGAATTATGAACGAACAGCAGACCGTCCTGAAAGCAACAAGCTAACTGGGATATCATCTCAAAAATGAAGTTAAACCAAATAAGATAGAATAGTGTTTGGTTTCATGGGCTAAGAGTAATTTCAAAGCAAAGGTGAACAAAAGGACGGTGTGAACTCGGGGACTATACGTACCTGGCGAGACTGAAGAGTGAAACAGGTCGTGAGCCTTCGAAGATCTTGCTTCGTATTTCATCGAGACAATGTACTGTAATATTTTTAATATAGTCTAAATTGAAGTATAAGGCAACCGATGTGCAGCCTATTGAGCTGAAGAATATCATAAGCATTCAGCTAGCGAGACAATGTACTGTAATATTTTTAATATAGTCTAAATTGAAGTATAAGGCAACCGATGTGCAGCCTATTGAGCTGAAGAATATCATAAGCGAGAGATTCAGCTAGGGTTGGGTTGATTCTCTCGTTCGAACCAAATTAGTTCCACGAAAGAATTTCTCTTTTTTATTAATGCGTTACAGAAGCACAGATACTCATGTGCACTCGGTACACGACACGCATTCTTGCGTCATTCTTTCACTATAGGAACCTCAAAGGTATCTTGAAGAGAAAATCCATTCGTCTAACGTTGATTTGCCTTCGAATGGACGATGCACTTTCGGTACATTGACTGATCATCATGGTGCACAAACAGGCACATTACCCAACGAAAATAAGTTTTTAACTGTGCTTACACGGGAAGCAACACAATATTCTCTGTAACTTGGTAAGAATGAGGTAAAAGGCTACCACACAGTAATATTCAAGCGTTTTTTCACCCCTGACGCATCGAACAACGCCTTTCCTGGTGTTATCACACCAATAGTTCCCAATTTCCGGACGATTCTGCTCCCCTTTGAAGAGGACTTTTGAGATTTTTCCACAGTGCAATTATCAGCATCTCCTACTTAAGCAGATGTCACAAGTTGTGCCTTAAATGTACGTTATCTGGGTCCAATGTCCCGGTGACCCACATCAACTTCCCATTTGCTTTGGGCCATCTGGTCGGTTGCATCCGGAATATAGCGTCAGATGGATGGGATTATCATCTTTTAAACATTATCCTTAAGATGGTTTCCAATCGCTGTCGAATTTGGACGAAAAACATGATGCCATCGATATCATTTGGCTTATCCCATCAAATCTGTTAGGGGTAGAACTAACTGATTGATTAAAGAGCTAAATAAAACATAACCTGTCAGTCTGTCTGAAAATGGCACAATACATCTGAGATACAGGCACAGTAAGTTAGAGGAACCTTGCTCAGCACAAACAATTCTACGGTTTACATGGCACAAAATTTTTTCGCTCATATACCCACTTACCATTCACAAAACGTGCACTGTACGATCAGCTTCCCAGCGAGTCAATCTTCATTTTCAAGGATGACAAAGTCGGTTTTCTTACCATCTTTAAAACAGTCAACTGAAAGATACCAAACATGAGGACATTGAATTAATAAGCAGAGATTGTTAGGGAATGCCACCATAGCAGGAAGAAATCCATTCACTTGTACATCACAAACTATCCTGCCTAGACAACTTGGCGTCTTTGGATCACGCTATGCTGAGAGAGGCTGGAGCGTCAGTCACCGGACAGCAACCTGACATGTCTGAGTTATTCGCCAACTTCAACAAGTCATTGCATCTACTCTAGTGCTCATTTCTGTTCGGTCAGTTAGATATTTAGTCTAGTCAGCCCATTTTCCTTCTGCCTGGAAAAATTCATTCACGATGACAGACCAGACTGTTCATTTTCCACCGAACTCGAGTTTTGGTTGTGTGCTCTTCCACTCTAGAAGTCTTTTTTTGGGAGAAACTTCGAAACAGAGGAAAATTTTATAACCTACTGACAATCCTCAGCAAGCTGAAAGTTCCACATCTATCCTTAGTTGATTGAAAACATTGTATAACATATAAGTGGCCTTCGAAACGTTTAATTACAGCATACCCTGAAATGGTTGGGCTCGCGAACTTAAAATTATCACTGTCGACTAGAACTTAATAGTGAAAAATATCATGCATTCCGAGCCCAATGACCTAGTTCCGAAATCAGGGTGAATTTCGATGTGAACTAAACGGAGTGATGGGTGGTTTGCTTGTTTGACGAATTTGTGAAACATCTGTCGTTTGACCCCAAAACCTGAATTTTAGAGGAAATAGAACAACTGGGCACACTCATTTATCTGGTAATCCAACAAACCAGTTAAGATACACAGTTGGTTATGTTCTGTGGAAGTACACAATCACTTACTTAGTGGAATTAAAGTGAAAGTAGGTGACTTCATGAAATGCAATTCACCAAGATGATTTATTACACTGGACTTAGAATAAAGTTGAGGGAGCTGAATTTTAGTCCTTTTGGTTATGAGCGACCGATAAGAAGCACATAGCGACTTTGGGTAGTCAAGACTACTGACCACGTGGGGACGACGTTGTGGCACGCACACTACTTCTGCAGTACAGCTTCCGTCGTAGATATAACACAAAGTTTTCGAAGACATATGTGAGATGAAGTGGTCACGACTTACGAGACTTCTTCCCAACGGATTCGCCCGGTTTTAGTTTGTGAACTGCATATTTCCGTGGTCAATGTGGAACTTTCCGTTCGTAATGACTTTCGGATTACAGTCCCGAAGTGATTACCGTAGAATCGACTTTCAAAAGCAAAGTTTGGGACACCTTATTCACAGTGTAGGATTAATAACGCAGCCCTGCCCGTGCAGGGGTTACCAACACATAAACAAAATTTTCATTGTTACTAAATAGTTTGACAGAATTTGAGCGTACTTCTGGAGCTAAGCTGGTTTTATCGCTGAAGGTTAGGTAAAAAAGGACCGAGTAAATTTTCTTTCCGTCCAACAGTGACCGTATTTAGCTGTGTTCCCTCAAACGAACAAGTGACTCGGAGAATGAAACGAATTCTCAGGGTGACTAGAACTTTAGCCTGAAAAGTCGTTACTCGAAAAGTCAGTCAGTGCTTGACCAAAGGATAAGATTGAAGGAAGAGTGGGGCTAGACCCTATCCACGTATGAGTTAGCCACAGTCCTAATCAACCGCTCCTGTTAGAGCGGCTATGTGTTTAAGCGAATAACCGGAGGTTGCAGGCGCGAAACAGACTGACATTTCGTGTGATGCGCACTGCCGATGAAATAGCTGTACAGGGCCTCTCAACTCTTCAATAAAGATTGACGTTACTTACCGAGCTAAATTTTCATTGATTTGCAAATGAGAGTATTTCTCGGAAACAGTCTATTTTGGGTTCAAGTAGAACATAAGGTTGACGGAAACTCGGGGACTGCGCCTACCTGATGAACCCCAAGGGCGGAACCAGTTGTGGGCTGTCGAAGAGTTTTCAGCAACATTGTAGGCAGTTTCCATTAAATATAAGATTTAAATGGTTGAAGTTTGTCGTCAGCCATTATGCGAAGTCACAGAAATAACTGCTTTATGTAACCAACGTGAGAATTTCGGCTAAATTTCGGCAACAGCTGTTACCCACGACTTGTATGAGGAGATACAAATTACAAATGTCAGCCAAAATCACATTTTTGCAATTAAATTTACGAAGGCCAATGAATTCCCCACTAACAAACTGAGCTCCATCTGTTGCTAGAAACGATATATATATATAACCACAATAGCCTACGGACTCAACGGGGCTCAGTACACATAGCCATAAACGGAGATGGTTTTCATCAGGCGGAAGTTCGTGAGTGACCACTGAACTGAAACTATAAGACATCAATTATGGGACAAGCTGATTGCACTCAACCAGCAAAACATAAACACTTCTAAGTATGGTGCTCCCAAGGTCTTTACCTGGAACTTGCGATGAAATCTACACCTTCAGAACAGACCGGAAATATTGTGAACACGCCTCCAAATACCCGCCCCACTATTTGTATCCACATGCAGTTTAACTGATCGGAGCAAAGCTACCCAAGCTCGGAAATGGGTCTTATCGATGGCGAAGCGTTTTGTCGCCACTGGGTACCGGGTTAAACTTTGAGAGCTGCTCAGAGTTTCACTTTTATAAATCCACTCGAAACTATTAGCGTTTCGCGTAACCATGCTTGCTGACCGAGCCGATGGTCATCCGAGTGCCCTGATTGCAGAATAACCAACATGCTGGGTTTATTTACCGACTGATTCCATTCAACTTTTTACTACTCTGCACTCTGTAAATTAGTTGGTTCCATTACCTGGTTGATGATATAAGACGGTACGATCAGAGATCGTAAAGCATGTTCCCTTTCTGGGCTACTTATCATATATATATAGCAACTCAGGAATGGGAAGTATTATGCATCACCAGTTGACTTCCCGGAAAGTTTAACGCGAACAGGCTAGTCCAAAGAAACATTTGCAGTAAATTTACTTTAGTCCAATGAAAACGCTACGTAATTCCTGACTTCATAACATAAGTGAAAGGAAAGAAACTTTTGACTTTTCAAAGTTTTCGGTAGTACCGTATTTCCTTGCTCTAAAGCAGCTGTCACTGTGACGTTCTTGCTAACCTTATCACATTTCACAGTTGGAATTACTTCTGTGATATCTAACATCTATTGGAGTAGTATTACTGGTCGAAAAAAGTCCGCTGCTATTAGTGCGACAGGTCTGTATTGATTCCTTTAGTATAATAGACATATCAGGAGGTGCATAATGTGCTTACTGAGTCGTTTATCCTTCGGAAATTTAGTGGATATCCGTCCAACTACTCAGTAGATGCTGAAGAAGTTATTCACGTCTAATTTGCTTGATTAAACACAAACATACCATGAGTGACTTTGTTGGCCCCTTGACTAATCGTGTAAGGACCATACTACTTTGTGTTTGGAATATGTTAATCCACGAATTCGTTCTATGTAGCTCATTTAGAGCTTAACACAAGGTCTATTTGGAGTGCCGTTAAGAACGACTTTGTCCCGTGAGTACAAATCACTGGGTACGACGCCAAGTTGCAGTGGTTTTTGTCCTCCTTTCTAGTGTCTGATTACAGATGGTCTCAGATAATATACCAAAATCGGGTCTTGCAAACTAAACATTGGTGGTTGCGGAATTTGTGTGCCTCACTTCGTCAAACATCACGACACTTTACTGTAGAATTTTCCCAGAAAATGCAGTTTCTTCGTGATGGGTCTCTATTTCCAGATTTAATATTTTCCTAACATGAAGTGACCGATTTCGTACCATGCCGCGTTTGACGTTTCTTAGGGTACGTTATCTGCTTCCCCTTCTAGAGTAATGTGGATCTGTGAATTAGGATCCGAAGGTACCGTGAAACTTTCCACATTAACGAATCGCTTGTTTCCATGCAGATATCCCGACGTTCAAAGAGGGAACCAGCCTCGTTCTGGATAGTATTCCACCCAATTATTTGTGCACTTGATAGCTAGCCCAGAAGCAGGTGTTTCCTACTATTTTGGGGATTGAGCTACTGTTGGTTAATTTTGTCGCATTTCTGTTAAAATTAGAGGAGGCTAGATTATAGCGAAGATTTATGGCAGTAAACAGATGTCTCCATTGTTTTCGAAAAAGTTTGGTGACAATCGGTAGATTTATTGCTGGGCAACGTTTCACTTTTGCCACAAAAGCTTCCTCAGGCCAAGTGACTAGGTTCCGAGGTTGATCGAGATTTAAGGCGGAAGGAGAACCAATCAGCTAAGTCGAGCTAAATCTCTGTTGGGTGTCGGCTGAGGGATTTTAGTGTGTTAGAGTGGTTGAACAAGTGTTGGGTCGGTGGGGAAACCTACATGTGTTTGGGTCCTGCCTAGGGTCTAGTTCTTCTGGTTCAGCCGACGTTGCCCAGCAATAAATCTACCGATTGTCACCAAACTTTTTCGAAAACGATGACTACCCAATCGGTTTCAAGTATTTTCCACAGATGTCTCCAATTTCGAAAGGATTACCAGAAACCCAGAAAGACACACGCAAAAGGAGGTAGCGTATTTTACCTTTGTTGATGTGCCAACCTGTGACTATCAAGGAACTGAGGTCACCTGGCTCAGCATG